GCTAAACAATGTAGATTGCAGTTTCATGTTAGTAGTTCAAAATCAATTAACGTTTTTCAACTTGTGCATTTAGATGTTTGGGGGTCTTACAAAGTGTCTATCTATGCTAGAAAATAGTACTTTATTACTATTGTAGATGATTTTAGCAGGTATACATGGGTATGTTTGATAAGTACCAAATGTGAAGTTGTAGTTGTGCTGAGAAACTTTATCTCAATAGTAAAGAATCTGTTTGCTGTCATTGTGAAGTATTTAAGATCTGATAATGTGAATAAATATTTAACTCCAAATGTAATGAATTGTTTGCTTCTCTTGGTGTGGTGCATCAAAGTAGTTGTACCTATACTCCACAATAAAATGGAGCTATGTAGAGAAAATATAGGCATATTCTTGAAATGGCTAGAGCATTGAAGTTTCAAAGTGGAGTACCTATTAGATTCTAGGGATAATGTGTGAGAACTACAGTATATTTGATAAATAGACTACCAACATCTTTACTAGAAGGCAAGACAGCATATGAGTTACTTTACAGCAAGCAAGATAATATAGAGCATTTGAGGGTATTTGGTTCCTCGTGCTATACAAGTAGCTTGCCAAAGGGAGATAAGTTTTCCCTAGAGCAAGAAGAACAATATTCATTGGTTATTTCTAATACCCAAAAGGGTTATAGGGTATATGACTTAGAGAGTAAATCCTTCCTGGTTAGTACGGATGTAGTTTTTAAAGAGCACGTCTTTCCTTTCAAAAATTTCAAGCACCAAAGAGGATATATTTGTGCAAGATATGGTTGATGTTCCTCCAATTCTTCAAGACAGTATCACACAACCAGCTATGTAGGACAGTACCACTACACAAAATCCAGTCCTATTACAGGGGGATTCACATTCAGCTGGCCCTGCTGCTTCTGAAGGAGACATGGTTGGCATGCATCTTCAAGGTGACCACATGACCACTGATAGTACTACCTCTCAACGGGAGTTGAATTACATAATCCCTGCAAATTTTACACTTGTAGAAGACCTAAAAGTGCAGAACCAGCAGCCCCTAAGCATGGTTCCATTCTAACTAAAGGAACTTCATCAGTGCTTACCAGGCCACAGAGATCACCTCCTATCTGGATGAAAGATTATGTCACCACCTACTCCTCTTCTGTAACAAGCAAATACCCATATCCTCTCATATAGTCTATCATCATCTTTCCCCATATTACTAATCTTATCTGGGAGCTTTTTCAGTGTTACCTGAACCAAAACCTTCAAAGTTGTAGCTCAAAATTACCAGTGGATAGAAGCTATGCAGCAAGAGATCAAGGCTCTTGAGGACAACTTCACTTGGGAGATTGTGAACTTACCTCCTATAAAGAAACCAATTGGATCCAAATGGTTTATAAGATCAAATATAAAGCCAATGGTGAAGTGAACAAGTTTAAAGCAAGACTTATCACAAAAGGCTATACTCAACAAGAAGGATTGGATTACCATAAAATATTTTCTTTGGTGGCTAAAATGGTTAGTGTGCACACTATTATTAGTGTATGGCTGCATCTAAAGGTTGGCATTTCTTTCAAATAGATGTCAACAATGCTTTCCTTCAGGGAGACTTGGCTGAGGAGGTGTACATGGACCTTCCACAGGGATTTCAAAAGCAAGGGGAATATCAGGTGTGCAGGTTGTAGAAATCCCTCTATGAGCTGAAGCAGGCATCAAGACATTGGAACATTAAGCTCATCACTGCCCTATTAGAAGCTGGCTATGCACAAAGCACACATGATCATTCTCTATTTACTAAGAGACATGCAAGAGATATTGTGATCATCCTCATTTATGTGGATGATCTTCTGATAACAGGAAGCTCTCAGCCTTTGATAGATAAGGCCAAGAGTACTTTGCATACATGGTTTAAAGTCAAAGACCTAGGAGAACTTGGATACTTTCTGGGAATTGAAATCATAAGATCAATGAGGGTGGTCTTCTGAACCAGAGAAAATACACATTAGAATTAATTTCTGATGCAGGATTGAGTAGATGCAAACCTGTTTCAACACCAATTGAGTTAAACCACAAACTCACTACAATGGATTATGACAATCATGTTGGAAAAACAGATGATGCACAACTAGAACAAGTGGGCACTTATCAAAGGCTAGTTGGGAAGTTACTTTATTTGACTATTATAAGGCCTGATATATGCTTTGCAGTACAGGTTTTAAGTCAATTCATGCAACAACTAAAAAGGTCACATATGGATATAGCACTAAGAGTAGTAAGATATATTAAAGGGGCACCAGGCTTAGGATGTTGCTGAGGAAAGGAGAGACTCAAACACTCACTGAGTTTTGTGACTTAGAATGGGCATCTTGTCCCAATACAAGAAGGTCTGTAACATGATATGTAATCAAGCTGAGGGATTCTTTATCATGGAAATCCAACAAACAACAAACCATTAGCAGAAGCTAAACAGAAGCAGAATATAGGAGTATGGCAGCAACAATAACAGAGATCATTTGGATGGTTGGCTTACTAGAGGAACTTGGAAACAAAGTGCAAACACTAGTGAATTTGCACTGTGACAGCAAGGCAGCAATGCAAATAACTGCAAATCCTCTATTCCATGAAAGGACTAAGCATATAGAGATAGACTGTCATTCCCCGAGAGAAAAGCTCAAGAGTGGATTGATCACACCACAATATATTTCCACCAAAATGCAGTTAGCTGATCTGATGACTAAGGGGCTAGGATCAGTGCAGCACCAATCGCTTCTGTCTAAGTTGGGAGTGTTAGATATTGAGCCCGTTTGGATTGGCTTAAAAGTGGCTTTTAAGTTAAGTGTTTAAAGCACTTTATAAGTGATGGAGCTTGTTTTATAAATAAGCAGTTACGTGTTTGGATAAAAATGCTGAAACTAAAAAAAGTTGATGAAGTGTTTGGTAAACAAGTGCTGGTAAACACTTTTTCTTGTTAAAATTATTGTCCTTAAAATTGTTAAGGATCAAGTAGCAATAGAGGTGGCCGGCGCCGGGGAAGGAAGCTATCCCAAAATCTTCTCTAATCTTCATTCACTCCAATCATATCGCCGGACTTCACATTCTCGGATGGAAAATACAATAATTTCTCAGAGGTTAAGAGGTGAGCAAGAGAAAGGCAACAAAAAATATATTTGATGAAAGGAAGGAAAGGAACACGTAAATATATTTTCAGTTCATAGCAGCACTAGGGAAGAAAGGAAGGAAAGGAAAAAGATGGGAAAATAATGAAAGTGTAAAGAAAGAAATGAAAGGAAAAGAGAGAAAAGTTATGGAAAATGACCAAGAAGAAAGCAGAGGCTGTTGCAACAAAAATGGAGAAAAGAAAAAGATAGCTACTGAGGGGTAATTTTGGGATTAAGAAAAATTATAAGGGATAAGAATGTAATATTATTGGTCAAAGCAATATGGCTTTTAAACCAATTTGGAAAAAGTTGGGTTTTCCAACTTATTGATTTTGGTTTTTTTAAGTAGATTTTAACTTTTTTAATCTCTTTTTTTGGTTGCCAAACACTTCTACAAGTTAAAAAGTGCTTAAAAGCTGGTTTGAAGCCTATCCAAATATGCTCATTTTCCACTCACCGGCTTGAAGGGGAGTATTGAAGTGAAAGGGCTAAAGAAAGCTTACAAGAAACTAGAAGGTAGCAAAGTATAAATAAAAGAGAAGTAGTGAGGTAGGAGTACAAGTTGTTAAATAAAAGAAAGAGATCATATGGATCTCAGTTGTATGAAAATAAAATTAATTGTCAAAATTCTAGAACATCCTTTCTCTTCTCTCTCTGTTCGAACTCGTTACTGTTCCATTGCTATGGTGGGTTGCATGTGTGAATTGCAGTTGTACTTAGCTTAATCTAGCTCAATTAACCATGAAACGACAAATTTACAGGTCTTGCTCCTTTCTTTTTCCCCGGTTTAAAGAGAGGAGAGAAAAGAAGAAGGAAATGGATTTTGTTCATTTTATGAACAAGATATAACCTGTCATGCTCAATGTTTACTTTGAATTTAGGGCTGGCAAAAGGGCGGGTTAGGTCGGACATGAGACGGTTCAAAATGAGTAATGAAAAAACGGATAAATTATCCGACTCGACCCATATTTAATACGGATTAACCGGCGGATAATATGGGTAACCATATTCTCCATGGTTTCTTGAATATGATCACTTTTGGGAGAATTTCTAGTCTTCCAAACTTGAGAAATCCCCAATTTAAGGTTTTATAAATATAAAAATTATTATCCATTGGTTATGCAGGGATAATATGGTTCTTATCCCCATATTTGACCCGTTTTAAAAAGTTCATTATCCAACTCATTTTTTGATAAATAATATGGGTGGCTAAGTGTTTTCTTTTAACCATTTTGCCGCCACTATTTGAATCTATGATTAGGTGGCAATTCAATTATTCGTAACCAATACATACTATAAAAATAAAAAAAACATATAGGTAAGAGGAAAATAGCAGTGGCTTTGTTCCTCGAATTATTGTCTGATCAACGTCAATTAAACTGATCAATATTTAATATTCATTTAAACAAAGTATATAATTTGGTCGTTGAAGTCCGAAGGTAGTGGAAGTTAACAGAATATCTGTTTATAAAACAGAAAAAGGAAGAAGGGAAAATTAGAGAAACAAAGATAGAGGCGGAGCTAGTCAATTGACACATGGCAACTCCTGAGCACGCTCCACTAACTTGTATACAACGCTGCCTCATACAATGGATGCGACAAAATTTCCGCTTTGCATTTCGTAATTGCCAAATGATAATCCCGGCACACGGCAGTACCACTGCTACCATCGCCACCAACAGCTTCACTCTCTGCTCACTCACAACCTCCTCTGTTTCCATTTTGCTATCATTGCTCTTGCCGTTGTTCAAATCGACAGCAAAGTTGGGCGAAATCATCTCGGAGATTACGGTCTACGGACACCTGAATTTTCTTTTTTGTGAGTACAGTTTTTTATGAATATTCTATTTTCTGGTCCCATTTTGTCATTTCTCTATGATTGATTAAAGATAAAAGCCCTCATAAATATTACTTATGAATGAATGTTGATGAGTGAGAATAGTGGGAAACATCAATGGACGTTTTTTATGCTATCTCGAAGGTCAAACAGTCTTCCTCCCTCAACTGGGATCCACGTTCCCTCATCCCTGCCCCTCTCTATAAAGGAAAAGAACAGTCACTAGACACGTGTAATCAACTATGGAGTAATAATTGACTCCAAAGAAAAAGACGTTATATTTCCATTTGGGTTTGTGTTGGATGTTGTTCTTTCTCAAAATTAAAAGGAACTTTTTATCATTAAAGAAAAAAAAAACGAAATTTGGCAGATCGCTGTTGCCTCTAAACTTGTTTATAGTTGTAAATCTTGCAGCAGAAGCACATGCTTTTGGAATCAACCTATTGCGCAATATCTCTTAATTAAATCAACTAATTTTGATCCTCAGTTCGAGCCGATAGTAAGTTATACACAGTGACAATGTAAAGAATTTAAATTTTCGGTCAATATTTATTAAATAGAGTTACTTGTAGGTATGGGGTCCTCACAAGTTGGAGAAAATGAATTGCCAGTCGAGCTTCCAAATACTCAAGTTTATTTTGGTCACTTGCTTAAAGAGGGTAAACGATAAATACTTGAATTAACTGTGAGTAGCCCAATTCATGGAAATATCTTAACCAGAAATGCTTTTAAAATACCCTCACCTACTCGAGAGATCGCTTAAAAAAATCTGTATTAATTTATCATTCTGAACAAGATTCAACTGCTTCACAGTTGTCATGTGTGTGTCGACTGATTATGAGCCTTAAAAGTCACCATCTCCAAAACTATATAAAAATAAGAATAGAAATAGAAATGCTTCAAAATCATTTATTGGTTGATGTTATTGAAAAATGGGAAATACACAAGGAACCTATCATTTCCTTTTTCTTTTCCTGATCTTAGCTGCTTTATCATCTCAAGTTTATTGTGTTTCTAGTGATTTCCCAATATTAGACAGACCGAATGAGTTGCTTTCAGAAGAAAGAATTTTCCAACTTTTCCAAGAATGGAAACAGAAGCATGGGAAACTTTACAACAATGAAAAAGAGGAAGAAATGAGATTGGAGAAGTTCAGAAGGAATGTGAAGTATATAGTAGAAAAGAACTCAAAGAGGAAGTCAGATTCAGACCATTTGGTTGGTTTGACCAACTTTGCCGATATGAGCAATGAAGAATTCAGGCAAGTTCATACTTCAAAGATTAAGATACCATTTGACAAGAGAAAGACTATTCAGATGAAGAATGCGGAAAAAAAACCAACTCCAGTTTATTGTGATGCTCCTCCTTCAAGGGATTGGAGGAAATATGGGGCTGTCACTGAGGTCAAGGACCAACACCTCTGCGGTAAGCTTGCTTACGTTCTTTTAACTTTTCAAATCAATCATGTTAGCAATAGCCAAATACTGTCTTTTCTGTCTATTAGTCAGTTGACCTGAACACTTGAATCACAAGGGCTGCAATGAAGTTTCTAATTTAGCTATGTGGGGTGTTTTGCTAGTCGATTAGCAGAAACTCCCCTTTCTCTTTAAGTCCCTTGCAGTGTTTTAGTAGTAATACCGTGTTGCTTATTGGTTGGAGGTGGTTGTGAAGTTTACAGCATGAAGGACTGAGAAATAAATGGTACTTCTATTTAGTATATATATCTGGATAGAGAAAAAGATAAACAGTTAGTAGAATGATCTCAACATTCAATTGACAGAAACAAAGGGGTAATTCAGATGATCTAATTCTGTTTCTCTCTCAGGTTATAGCACATAAGAGTGCAGTCATTTCTTTAATTTTATTTGCCTTTTCTGCACATATGTAACACAAAAAGGGAAAAATTGGGCTAACTTACTTGAATAGGCAATGAGTGAGTTAAGTCTGCAAATTGGGCTAACTTACAATCTAAATATACCCTTCATTGGTTCAAGTAACAGGTCAGTGGTAATGCTACTCTGGTAATTTCTTTCTTTGCAATCTTATAATAATGAAGGAGCAATGCAGATGATATATGATCTTTAAATCTACATTAGTGGAGTAATGTGTTCTATTTCTACTAAACATTTGCAGGAGCTTGCTGGGCATTTTCAGCATGTGGAGCGATGGAGGGAATAAATGCAATAGTTACTGGTGAACTTATTAGCCTTTCTGTCCAACAACTTATCGATTGTGATAATTCCACCAATTTGGGCTGTTACGGTGGATATATGGACCCTGCTTTTGAATGGGTGATGAACAATGGTGGCATTGATTCAGATTCTGATTATCCATACACTGTCTCTCAAGGCGCATGCAATATCACCAAGGCATATGATGATCAATTTCATATCAAGTCTTCTATCCATTTTTTCGAATAATATCCTTTTTTGAAAGAAAATCTTGATCTTTGTTCCTCAACAGGTGAACCAAAAGGTTGTAACAATTGATGGATACCGAGATGTTCCACAGGAGGAAAGTGCCCTTCTTTGTGCTGTTGCTCAACAGCCTGTTAGTGTGGGCATCGATGGAGCGAGTGCTGATTTTCAATTATACAGAGGGGTAACTCTTATGCCTTTAACACCTTTTTTACATAACTCTTTGCCCTTTCTTCTCTCAAGAATCCCAAAATGATGTGAACTTTGTTTCTTTTATATTATGGGATCAATGCAGGGAATCTACGATGGAAGTTGCTCTAGTAATCCAGATGACTTAAGCCATGGAGTATTAATAGTAGGATATGGTTCTGCAGGAGATGATGACTATTGGATTATCAAGAACTCATGGGGTACATCATGGGGAATGGAGGGGTATGGATATATAAGAAGAAACACTGATTTGCCTTATGGTGTTTGTGCCATTAATTCATTGGCTTCATATCCAACGAAGGAACTGGCTTCTGCACCATCTCCTTATCCATCTCCAGCCGTTCCACCACCTCCCTCGCCATCCCCTCCACCTCCTCAACCGCCTTCTCCAAAACCAAGTGAATGTGGAAACTTGTATTATTGTCCAGAAGATCAAACATGCTGCTGTGAGTTGGAGTTCTTTGGAATTTGCGTCATTCAAAGCTGCTGTCCTCACAAAAATGGTGTTTGTTGTGATGGATCAGAATTCTGCTGCCCAACTGAATATCCCATTTGTGATGTTTATGAAGGCCTCTGCCTCAAGGTATGACTTTCTGTTATGTTATGGTGTACTTAAACTGATGGGTAAATGTAATTTTTGGTTATTAAAATTGGTTGCTTAAATTTGTTTTTTGCCCCTTATCTCGCGCTTAATAACATCCAAACCTGTAATAAGTGAATTTGTTCCATAGAGGAGTCATAATAATTAGAAAGAAAATTCGAATAGCCTTGTTGGCTTTTGATGTCTACACCTCTTTCTTCTTTATTCTAAGAAAATCTAGAGTTCTTGCTTCAATGCCAAGAGCTCTCAACAAATTCCCCTTCTTGATGAATCCCTTCATCCACGCACCCTTTCCAAGATTTTCGTTAATCTTTTAAACCTTGAGAGGTGATTCAATGGTTTTGCTATTTCTGAGTTTCCAAAGGGAGCTCATACTACTGGAGAGAAACGTACAATGCCTAGGGAGTTAATGCTAGAGAACTCATTGGGTAGATCACTCTTGAGATTTTGCTTGTACCGTAAAGTTGAGAGTTTTATCTTCTTATTATTTTATTTCATTTCTCTTTTCCTTGTTGCAGAGGGTTAGAGACACTCTGGGAGTGGCAGCAAAGAAGAGAAGAATGGCCAAATACAAGTTACCATGGAGTACAAGCACTAAAGAAACAGAGGAGTTGGACCAAACACTGAAATGGAAGAGGAATCATGTCGCGCCAGTGCTCTGAAATAAACAATTCTTGTTATGCCATTCAACATTCTTAAGTAGTAGTATCAATTTTGGTTCTGGTTCTAACGCCAAAACTTTTGATGAATCAAATTTGTTAACTGAAAACAAGCATAATTCTTTAATAAATCTGTGCTTGTGGATAAATATCAATTTCTTGAAATTAAAGGACTGGAAAGAGACTTATGTAGTGGCTCCATATACTTGTAAGAAATTACTACCTAAGAAGTATTCTTCTTCTTCATCTTATATAAGTAACTAAACGATTATGGCTTGACTGTTGTGCTGTGAACATTCTTGAAAAAGTTGTAATTTATTGTACTTCTTATGTAGTAATCTCTAGGCTGTAACAACATAACTATGGGATTTTTGCTTTTTTCAATTTTTAGTTGGTCAAATTTTATTTTAAAAAGAACTTATATTTATTTTTATTCATTTTGTGTGTGTGCGCGTGTGATGTGCTTGGTGGAGATTGAAATGTGGGGGATATGCGCACACGTCTTCAGTTATGTTGAAGGTCAATCAAATCCTCCGTGCACTGCCCCCACCGGCCACCACGCTCCAGCTAAAAAGAAAAGTGAAATAAAGTTAATCATGAAAAAATAGGAAAACCGACAGCTCGCTAATTGACCACAGTACTGTCTTTTTAACTTGTTTGGGTATATATTGGACAAATCTATGCGTTTAAGTTGTATTTAATGATGGTGTAAAAAATATTTATATAATTAGGTGATAATTTTAGTTATACTTTCCTATATCTTATTTCCCTTATTTGATACTACTTTTTCTTTTTCCGCTTCTCGTTTTCTCCCCTTTCGTCTTTTGTTTGCCTTTCTTTCTTTCTTCGTCCTCATTCTTCTTCTTCCCTTTTCTTTCTTTTTTACTTTTTTTTTTATCCGAGGGTCTATCTAAATAATATCTCTATCTAATTAGATAGAAGTAAGGTCTGCATACGTACTATTTTCTTGTAAAATTATACTGGGTAAGTTGTTATTATTGTTTGTGCATATAACTTATTCCCAGGGATATATAGCATCAGAACCACAGGGCTCTAGTGACACTATTATGGTTCAGCCAAGAACATTTGCCCATCTTTTAAATCTGCACAGACTCATTCAATGTTAATCACTAAGTACTGTAATTTTTATTCTGTTATTTAACGTTAAAGACTACCTGCCAAGATATGGGTCCAAGAGAACTTTTTCAGTTTACAATACAAAAATACCCTCGCAACTTTTCAAACGTCTTACGGTCATTTTCGAAGGAAAAAAAAATACAATACCGACATGCTTGCACATACATATGTATGTATTATATAATATATAAAAGTCAATTTTCCAGTCTTAATCTACAGTTGCAAATGCTACTTGTTCTTCCAATATACCAAAGACTTTGTTTTGAGAAATTATTTCTTAACTAGTTAATTTTGCCACGGTATTCCCAGCATGATCGGCCCCACGGAGTTACAAAAACAAGTGTCAGTTTTCCCATCCGTACATAATTAGAATGCATTTATAATACCTACCGCTACCAGATTGTGTTTTACATACCCACACCTACCACTCTACCAGTCCTCATCCTGCTTAAACAATTCCATCATTCGTCATTTTAAACCACAGTTAAAAAGTCAAGTCACAGTTTTTCATGTGTTTCACGAGTTAAGTTATTGGGAACCTTAAAGGTCATTTTTTCTAATGTTATAAATTAATGAGAGTAGGCATATATTAGCACAAATTCATTAACTGGTTAATGTTACTGAAAAATGGGAAGCACACAGATTCCCTATCGACACTTCCTTCTTTTCCCACTTTTCTTGATCTTAGCTGCATTATACTCTCAAGTTTCTGCTTTTACTACAGATTTTCCAATACTAGACAGACCAACTGAGTTTCTTTCAGAAGAAAGAGTATTCCAAATTTTCCAAGAATGGAAACAGAAGCATGGGAAATTTTACAAGAATGAGAAAGAAGAAGAAATGAGGTTGGAGATTTTTAAAACGAATGTGAAATATATAGTGGGGAAAAACTCCAAGAGGAAGCCAGATTCAGACCATTTGGTTGGTCTGACCAAGTTTGCTGATATGAGCAATGAGGAGTTTAGGCAAGTTCATACTTCAAAGATTAAGATACCCTTTAACAAGAGAAAGACTATTCAAATGAGGAGTGTGGAGATAAAGCCTTCAACAACTTCTTGTGATGTTCCTCCATCAAAGGATTGGAGAAAACATGGGGCTGTCACTGAGGTCAAGGATCAAGATCGATGTGGTAAGCTTACTTATGTTTTCTTGCCATTTTTTAGTTCAACAATGTGATAAACTTACTTATGTTCTCTTGCTTATACCGATGCAAAATGGTTGGATAGTCCATTTGGAGAAAATCCCCTTCGTCCTCTTTTTAGTATTTTTGTAGTTTTAGTAACTTCCTCTGCTTAATTAATGGTTAGATGTGGTTGTGAAATTTACAGCATAAAGTATCTGACAGAAAAAAAAAAAAAAAAAGGGATACATGTTTCATTGCTTTTAGTAGATTTTTGGCTAGAAAGGAAAATGGTGAGTAGAATGATTTGAATAGGCTATTGACGGAAACAAATGGTAGTTACGTTGAACAAAGTTTCCTGTATAGCCCATAAGGTGCATTCATTCTGTCATTTTTGATTTCATGATATTCATAGAAGAAACACTGATAACTAGGTCATATCTGAAAGATGTGTTATTGAATCTATCAAATTTTCACTCTGCTTCTTTAACTCAAAAAGATAAGACAAAGATAGTGAATACTTCTTTAAGCTTTAAGCATGACTGTAATCGACACAAAACCACTATTTCTACTCTGTCAGCAGATGTGTATCTTCATTTATATATAGCTAGATATTGTATATAGGTATATCCCGTTGCATTTTATACATGTACATTAATGAGTATCGAAAATGTTGGTAACCACACCAAAGATGGGCTGGTTTACACTCCATACATGTTTTACTGCTAGGCAGCTAATAGGCATTATGAAAGCTAGACAAAAGGAATTTAGTGAGTTAAATCTGCAAATTTGTCTAACCTACAGTCTTCATGGGAGTTTTTGTTGGCTCAAGTCACAAGTCAGTAGTACCAAAAGGTCCAAAACTCTATGGGACATTGTCCTTCTTTGCAATATTACTACAATAACAGAAGGGGAGAGCTAGGTGTTGGCAAGGGGGTTCAATTGAATCCCCTTTATCGGAAACTTATACTGCACAAATAGGGGATAAATGACTTGTTTTTGTTATATATAAACTATTGACTTCCCTTGACCCAAGGAAATATAATAGTTTGTGTCAAAGGAATTACAAAAATTGCTTTAGATAATCCTAGGTGCGACATTCTAATAGTTTTTTGAATCCCCTCGTATGTATTCATGGCTTTGCCACTAAGGATCAATGCATATGCAGTTATGTACATCATTAGAGTAATATATTTGATCTCTGCATAACTTTTGCAGGAGCTTGCTGGGCATTCTCGGCGTGTGGAGCAATGGAGGGACTAAATGCGATTGTCACTGGTGAACTTATTAGCCTTTCTGAACAAGAACTTATCAATTGTGACAACTCATACAATACTGGTTGCGATGGTGGACTTATGGACCCTGCTTTTGAATGGGTGATGAACAATGGTGGCATTGATTCAGAAGCTGATTATCCATACAGTGCCTCTCAAGGCCGTTGCAATTATGACAAGGCATGTGATGATCAATTTCATATCAAGTCTTCTATCCAGTTGCCAAATATCTTCCTTCTTTAAAACTTCATCATTGTTTAAAATATTTTCCTCAACAGGTGAACCATAAGGTTGTAACAATTGATGGATACCAAGATGTTCCAGAGGACGAGAATGCCCTTCTTTGTGCTGTTGCACAACAACCTGTTAGTGTAGGCATTGACGGAAGCAGCCTGGATTTTCAACTTTATAGAGGGGTAACTATTTTCTATTACTCCATTTTCACATATCTCAATAATCCTAAAATTGATGTGATTTTTCTTTCTATTCTGTTCTGTGGTCAATGCAGGGAATCTATGATGGAGAATGCTCTAGCAATTCAGATGACTTATCCCATGCAGTACTAATAGTAGGATATGGTTCTAAAGGAGATGATGACTATTGGATAATCAAGAACTCATGGGGTACAACATGGGGAATGGAGGGGTATGCATACATAAGAAGGAACACTTATTTGCCATATGGGGTTTGTGCCATTAATTCGTTGGCTTCATATCCAACAAAAGAAGCGTCTTCAGCACCATCCCCTTATCCGTCCCCAGCCGTTCCACCACCTCCTCC